CCACCTCAAAAACACACACAAAAAAACAAATCCATTCTGCTTCGCCCATTTCCCCTGCAGCTGGTCTAAGCCCCATCCCCGGGTCAGGTTGGTTGTGAGCCGTAGTAAGAGGATGAAGTGGATTCTGGAGCACCAGTGCGACTCGTGCCCTCGGGTGCCTCGCTGCCAAAATGCTCAAAGGATGAAACACTTCTGCAGCCTCCAAAGCTGCTGCTGCTGCTGCTGCTGGCAGCTCTTTTAATAGCAAACGCTGGGACAGTAAGGAAATGTAATGAAATGTTGAGTTGCTCTGCTTCAGATGGGATTAATGACCAGCCACAGTCCCTGATTAAAACTGTGATGTCATGTCAGCAGGGTGTGTGTGAGTGTGTGTGTGTGCTTTGTGATGTGCTGTACTCTGTTTGGTCATGAGGTAGATGTGACACGATATTTATGATACTGACTGAGAAGCGTTTTTGAAAAGAACGACAGTGGAGAGTGGTGACGTACGTGAAGGACCAATTAGCAAATGGACCATGAATAATAGTCTCTTCTGGATTTTTGTTGAAATTTGCTGACTGTGAATTTAAAGGGATGTCTTGCTGTCTGTCTTGTGATTCATTTGGCATTAAAGAAAAACGTGTTATTTTTATTATTGCCTCCCAGAAAAAGGTTAATGCGGATGATTTTGCTATCACTAGTGTTGGTGCGTGTGCAGGCCTGTCTGTTAGCAAAATATCCTACAAGTTTTTGTGAATATTTGAAGGTTTGACCAAAAAGACAAACTTATAATTTTTTTAACCTGAGCTAGTTTTAAAGCTCAATAGGCCGTATGCATCCCTTGAAAGAGTTAACGGCTTTTAATTTATTTTAAATATCTTATAAATTTAGAAAAGAAATTTACTGGACGATGCACTGAAGTACAAAAATGATTGTTCTACTCCAAAATAACCAAGTCATGAGTATTTGGTGCCTCATTCCATATTGCTCTAGTTATTATTGCCCTATGGCTATACTATAGTCTCCTGTTTATGTTGATGTGTATGTATTTCAGGGGGGGATTTACTCTCAGTAGTTACATAACATTTATATCCAGGACAGCAATCCAGAGGTCTGTTTTTATTTCCTTGTATTTTTCTCAATGAATAATCAGACAAAACGGTGCTACTGTACTCGTTACAACAGCGAGAGGAAGTGTCGACAGTATCTGTGATGCCTGAAGAGCTGACATAATCCTAACTGAAACGTTTGTCCCCACTCTAGCAGAAAGGTAGCAGCGTTTTCCTCCCATCAGGTCCTTCCTCTGAGTTGCGTGCTTTTGACTGCGCATGGCAACCCCCCACAACACACACACACACGTGCATGAGGTGGGACCCAGAAGCTCTGTTGGAGGAAATAAACAGCTGATGTTATGAACAGAGAGAGAGAGAGTGGTGCATCTGTGTGAGTCTGTGCTCTGTCAGGCTCATTTTTCTGCAGCCTACAGAGCCGTACGAGACACTTATTTAATGAGACGGCTCTGACTGTGTAATTGCAGGCTGCTCCGAGAGCTATTATGGGAGATGTACTTTAAAGGGGGAGGGGGGCCACGTCCATTACGATGACAAACAAAAAATAGTTTCTGCGTGAATTTGTGAAGTCACACATTGGTGATTATGCAGTTATGAGAACTGAGAGAACTGTTGTCATGTCGCAGAAGGCAGAAAAGTGATAATGTTGTTGCGCATCCGTGTAGTCCCTCTTCAATATGGCTGACACTGCTAACTCACCATCGGAAACACAAAACAAGCCAGTTTTACAGTTAGTGAGTTGTTATAATGATATGTGATAGGAGTTCAGTTATTCACAACACACGTGTGCTACACATTGCACAACAATTTAGCTCAAAAACCTGTGGCATCAACATTTTCTTTTAAATCAAAATATATCATGACCCACTCGTTGGATTTTAATAAATCTTCTCACAAAGTAATCGTACATCTAGTCATATACACCTGTTCAAGATGGCTGCCACAGCTAATTAAAATGAGTCAAAATAAAAGTGGCCCTAACTCATCTACACTGTAGTAGTGATCATTCTTTACTCATATTCTGGGAGCTGACATGTAGCGAAATCTTTTGCGTGAACTGTGCTCAGGTCATTTTTTAAAATATTCTTCAGGAACGTTCAGCTTCAAAGTTATGAAAAACTTATTTGTTTGTTTTATCTGGTTTAGCATTCTTGCTTGTTCGTAGGCTTTTAGCCGTTTTGTTAATTTAAACTTTTAGCTAATATTTTTCAAGTTTTAGCTTGTAGTTACAGTTTTCCTGGTTTTAGCTTTTAGCTGCTGTTTTGCAGTTTTAGCTTTGAGCTACTTATTTGATCATTTTAACTTTGAGCTGCAGTTTACAGGTTTTAATTTCTAGCTTATTGGATTGCTAATTTGTGGTTTTAGCTACTGTTTTGCTAAATTCATATTTAGTTACTATTCTGCTAGTTTTAGCTTTGAGCTACTTATTTACTAATTTTAGTGTTTAGCTACAGTTCACTGGTTTAAACTTATAGCTGCTGGATTGCTAATTTCAAGTCTTTAGCTGTTGTTTTTCCAATTTTAACTTTTGGCTAATGTTTTGCTGGTCTTAGCTATTCACTACTGTTTTAGTAATTTATTTTAGCAACTCATTCGCTCATTAACTTATCTACAGTTTACTTATTTTAACTTTTAGCTACTAGGTTGCTAATTTGGGTTTTAGCTACTGTTTTAAAATTTTAGTTTATGATTATACTAGATTTAGCTTTTAGCTACTGTTTAGCCTTGTTTTGATTATTGTTTTGATGTTAGCAATATAGTTTAAGCTTCTTCTTTTAAACTTCTGTGCATTTTTGCTGATTTTCTCTGGTTCAGACTCAATCCAGTGATACTGAATGAGATTATAGAAGTCATATGAATATTTGCTTTAGCTCTGAGACTGGTTGTATGCTCTGTTAAAAAGGCATAGTTTAAATAGATAATAAAAGATGTTCACATTTATAATAGATTCTTTGTAAAGCCCAGCCTCTTTGCTCCAGTTCTCTGTCTGTGCAGCAGATGACTCTGGTCTGAGATATGTGGTTCAGTCGTGCTGGGATTTCTGAATCACATGATTTATTTAGGATGTGTTGAGGTCTTTCAGAGCCCTTCACATCCCGTTCTGTCTCACCAGACATCCTTTAGCTTCTTAAATTACTCTCTCTCTCTCCATCCCTCTCCTTTCTGTCATCACTCTCTTCTCCCCTCACCGCAGGTCTCTTTGCAAATTATAAGAAACAAACCAAAGAAAGCTGACAGCGAAATTCAGAGCAAATGAATGAGTGAATGAAAGAGCCGGACTAATGCTGGCCTACTTCACACTTCACCCTGTGAATCCCTTTTAGCTCCGTCCTTGTGCGTTTTATTGCCTGACGCTGGACGGGTGAATGACAGGGAGCGATGTTTTCTTCACATCTTTGGGTTACTGGTGTTTTCAGCTCGGCTGTTTTTCATTCCTCGTGTCTCCCAGAAAGAATGTAAAAGAATATGAACTCACTGGAGCTGGATGATTATGATGATGATGCAATCTAGCTGCTGGGTAAAGCTCAGTCCTGAGATTGCAATCAGAGGTGGTCGCACCCAGAGTTTGTGCTTTTTAGATGGCAAGTGTTTGTTGTGTTGCAGATCTGTTATGTTTTGCATGTGTGAAAAACATCTAACCACCCTTTTCTGTTCCCCAACAGCATCTGGAGAGGCCCTAATGTGAATTGTGTGGACAGCACTGGATACACCCCTCTGCACCACGCCGCCCTCAACGGACACAGGTACAACGCAGAGTTATTATAGTTAACTAAAACTAACTAAAGAACGAAAACTGAAATTGAAAAAAACATTTTAGTTAACTAAAATGAATAAAAACTGACTGTAATAATGGAAAAAAAAAAAGATAACTAACTAAAACCGTATAATCTTTTTACAAAACTAAAACTAACTGAAATTATAGATAGAATATCCTTAGTTTTAGTGTTTCGTCAGTTGTTCAGAGACAACTATTGTCATCATCCTAAAAGAATTGCCCAAGTTTTTAGTTGGCAAAATTGAGTTACGTTATAATGGACTGCTTTAACTCGTGACCAAATAGCTGTTGGTTAGTCAACTCACAGGAACATCACAAGATAGAGGATGCATTGGCAAATATATTTATTCAAACTATAAAAAAAAAATACTAGAACTAATAAAAACTAAACTAAAACTAAGCATTAAAAATGCAATAATAACTAATAAAAACTAGCAAATCCACTGTAAAAACTACTTAAAACTAACTGAATTAAAAGAAAAAAGTCCAAACTAAATAAAACTAAACTATAATGAAAAACCCAAAACTATAATAACCTTGGTACAACGTGCTTTCACCGTGCAGAGTTTTCTTTCTCTTTGTGTATATATTTGCCAAGTGAGGGTAGAGAGTCCATAAACACTGATTATTTTTGTGGTCTTTTTATCAACTGATGCTTTATGAGAAATAAAAAGTTGTCAGCTAGACTGCAACATCTTCTGATCAACATCTACCATTTCTTCTTTGCGTCATCTACTCTAAAGTCCTTAGTGCAGGGAGATGGAGCAAATCATCTTTATCACATCTTAGAAGTGAAGGTTTGATGACATTAAGTCTGAATAAAACAACCTTCGAAAAGCATTTGGCTCATGTAAACAAAATATAGTCATGGGGCAAATAAAGTCCGTCCGCTTTTAATTGCAGGTATGGATTAGGACGTAATAAAAATCTGGTCTTCACCAGGTTCTAAAGCTCGTCTAGTCCGACCTCGTTTGTGCCAAAACTTACAACAGATTCCACCAAGTCTCAAGTCAGACCGTGAGAATCGGGTGTCTGCAGACAGAAGACTGGGCTCAATCTCCTCCACAGCTATGTGAGAGACTGATAGTCATTTAGAAATGGTTATTTTAAGTTGTTGCTGCTAAAGCTGCTTCTGCAAGCTGCTGGACTTAGTTTTTTCTCACACAACTTTTCTATTTTGACTCTGCTTTTGTTGATTAGACAAGGACATGGTGAACTGTGTGGCTTCGTCATTTTGGAATTTGCTGAAGATCAGATCCTTTTTATTAAACCTTAAAAAAGAAGGTGAACCCTTAATTCTAGGTTGATTCAGACGACTCGTTTTGGTATCTTTGACTTGCTTTTGGCAACTTCAGATTTCTTTCCAAGAATAACAAAAATAAAACAGTGCAGGTTGCTAAACAAAGGCATTTAGTCTGAAAGGGAAGTGCAATATACTGTGTCCTTTTCACAAGAGAGCTCATGTTCCTTTGTCCCTTTCATCCCATTTTATGGAACTCAAACACAGAAGTGCATCAGATATCAGATCAAATGCACTTGATTTTTTTTAATTAGATGGATGTGGCAAAACCTGTTTTGCCTTCGTAAAAGCCTTCCAATCTTTCTGGTGAATTCAGGCCATCGTCTGCAAAGACCTGAAGCCATAGATCAGGAGCGTCACATCACGCTCCTCGTCTCATTGCTACAGCTGAGCTAACAAACAATAACTGAGCTCAACGTGGTATTTCCTGCATAGAAACAGCGTTTTTAGCATGTCCTTTTAGAAACACCGAAAAGTGTATGAAAAGCGTATGACAGAAATATTATTAAAAGTAAAAGCATGAGTTTTACTCACTGTTTTACTGACTGTTGAGTTGTGATGAGAAGCTGCTGTTTTGAATTTTGAACCCCACAACTTTCCATTTGGACATTCCCAAAGGAGGGATGTTCCGGTTTACATTTATGACAGGGATAGTCAATCGTGGTCCTCGAGGTTCGCAGCCCTGCATGTTTTACTTTTTTCCTTCTCTAACACACCTGATTCAGTCAGTGAATTACCTCTTCCGAGTTCTGCAGAAGCCTGATAATCATCTATTCATTCAAATCAGATATGTGGGAGCGGAGAAACAAGTAAAACCTGCAGGGCTGCAAAGCTCGAGGACCATGATTGACTATCCCTGTTTTATGACTTCCAGCACAACTGGGTCGCAGCAAAAGTTGCCCACGAAATTGCAGCTAAATGGAGATTTTACAATCCAGATTTTGCCGGCTACTTTTGAATCCTGTGCACCGCCACCTTGTGGTGGGATGACATCATTTTACTAAAATAATCAACATGAATTGTGGGAGATTTAGTTTACCATCAACGAGGGATTTAAAGCAGCATATGCTTATTTTAAGACATGAACACTCCTTATAAAACTCTTGCAGGCCATGTAAAATGCTGCCGTAGTTTTAGGTAACATACCCTGCCTCCCCTCTACAGAGAACACTCTGAAATACAGTTTTCTCTCTCAGACTGCTCCTCAGGGAGGATGAATCCATCGATTGTCTGCGTGTATTCATTAGTGTGCCTCCTAATGATTCTGACTCATCCTTTGTTGACCCTCAGCGACGTGGTGGAGGCGCTGCTACGGAACGAGGCCTTGACCAACATCGCGGACAACAAGGGCTGCTACCCTCTCCACCTGGCTGCGTGGAAAGGAGACGAGCACATTGTGAAACTCCTCATCCACCAGGGCCCCTCGCACCCCAAACTCAACGAGCAGGTCTGCTTCTTTGCCTTTGGTGCTCAAGTGGAGGGCTTTCTTTTGGCCACTTTTGTAGTTTTGGTTGAGTTTTTCCAAAGGTTTTGAACGTCTTTGACAAAACATTGTCAGAAAATGTAAACAGACTTTGCTTTGTTTGGTTTTGTCTCCATGTGACACATCAGGACATTGTGGCAGCATCAGAGTGTCACAGTGACTGCTAAAAAAGTGATTATAATAAAACGAATGATTTATTTTTATTCGGATCCTTTTAATCCAAATCTTATTAGAGCATGGCATGATCTGTATTCAGATGTGGAACGTTAAAAAGAAGAATGTGACTGCTTTAACCTCGCTGCATCACGAGGCTGACTTCTCCTTTGACAGTTGATACTTGAAGCCTTTTGAAGCTGCGCTAATGTGAGAAGCTCTCATTTCCTCTAACCATTTTAACAGTTTTAACTCTCATCTTTGATACTTAGTTCGGGTGCCTAATGCACAGACAGCCTCTTGGCTGAAACCATCTCTGGTCTGTTCTTTTTATTTATTTTTTTAATGAGGAGAAATGACCCACTCTGAGCTCTTCAAACACAACCATCACATCTTTTATTGAACAACCGCATTCAGATCGGCCTCAACTCGTGAGAATTTTGGCCTCGTTTTGTGTCATTTCTCCCTGCCTGTTCATGACATCTGATTGTTCATTAACTCATTTTGTTTTCTCCCTTTTCTTTAGTTCAACTCATTTATGATCATCACTTATTTGTTCATTGCTTGTCTGAACCAAAACCCCATCGACCTATCTGCTCTTCCTCCCTTCCAGAGCTCTGTAGAGCATAAAGAGTTCAAACGCTGTGGGCCCTTTGACCCCTATATTAACGCCAAGGTGTGTACACAGTGCTGCTGAAAGCATTTCTTTCTGAAGTGTGTCTTTGCTTTCCTGCTGTGTTCGCTTGCTGTGCTTGCTGCTGCCGCTCGGGGGGCGGCCTCCTCTGCTGCAGAGATACGAGGAGGCTTTTAATTTCACTCACTATCCGTCGATCTCTGCTCCGAAGCCTTCTTTCCATGTTTGAATATGAGCCTCAGTTATATGGAGTGTTATGTGGAAACAAGAGACATGGTGCAGGACTGTAGAACCAATCTATTTGATCAGTAATTTGCATACAAATCACTGTAGATTATTTCAATTGTTTAATTTTCATGATCTAACAAAAGGTTGTGCAAAAAATATAAATTATGTTGTGCCTATTAGGGCTGTGTTTAGGCAAGAATCTGGTGCTACGTACCACGACACGGGTCACAATATGCTGTATCGTGATGCACTGCGATACTGTAAGTAAGGTGATATGTTGTCATTTTTTTTCTCCAAAAGTTTCTCATTTGAAAAATAACTCGGTATAAAGATCACACCATTCATCGCATTCAAAAAATCCGATTAACAATCAGAAAAACACTGAACAACACTGAGAACTGCATTTGTGTTTCACATTTCTTCTCACAGCATCCTTCTATCTGACAACTAGCAGTTAGAGGCTAATATACAACACAAAAATGAACCATTGGCCTGAAAGTTTACATTTTAAGCCTTTAGTTAAAAATTGTAACGGAGCTTTTCAGAATCGATACAGTATCAGGAAATGAAATATTGCCATATTTCAATATATTAGACTTTTCTTCCACCCTAGTGCCTATTTAACAGTCCAAACAGCTCTCAGACATGTTTTTAGATGCACTACCATACTTTAAGCTTAAAGGGATCCATGATTAGTTGTAACATTAGACTTTATTTAATAAACATACTGTATATTTTAACTGCAAAATAAAGACTAAAAGTTCTGTAGGCTGTTTGATTTTTATAATTTTTAAACTATAAGTTTAAAAATATATTACACAGATGGGGCCGTTTTATTTACACACAAAGTATTCTGGGTAAAAGGTGACGTGGATAGGTCCTCAGTGCGAGGCTGCTAGCGAACTAAATCCACCCTGAAGGTTAATCTTGGACAATATCTGAATATCAACTCTTTTAAATGAAACCAGAGAGCGTTGACAGAGAGGAGAAGGTAGAAATGACTCAGCCTGTAACTGAAAATATGGATGGAGGACAACAGAGCTGCTTCATGGAAGAAGAACCTCAGTTTAGCCTGTTAGCTTAGAGTTAGCCCCGACGCTATCGCCATATATATGTATTAGCTCAGCGCTACACATTCTCCTCTTGTCACTGAGGTCCTCCATCCACATGACAGAGAGGGGAATGCAAAACCTGCAACTGAAAATATGGATGGAGGACCTCAGTTTAGCTTGTTAGTTTGTCATGCTAGCGCTGAGCTAATACATTTAACGTCAGCGCTAGAGCAAAGACTAACAGGCCTTTTTATTTAATTTAAATACTTCATCAAATAAATAAAGATACTGGCATATTAAGCCATTGCATCCGTTAGTTCTTTATAACGTTTTGATGTTTTGTCATATGGCACAGCTGCTAAGTATTTCTCGATGGTTGTCTGTTTCTTGGGTGTTGTTCCACTGCCAGATGTTGATAGCTGTGGCTGTATGATGCTGCTCTAAATAAGAAAAAGGTTTAAAAAATGGACTTCTGTTGTAATACAGAAGACATTTTGCTTCTTGTCCAGGTATCTCTCCCTATTAAAAACAAAACAAACAAACAAAAATAAAATAAAAACAAACACCACTCTACTTCAACAGATGAGAGCAGCTGAGTAGATTTAAAAATATTAAAAATTGTCGTATTCAGACTTGGTATCAACAACAACTTTTCATAGTTTGCAAAAACATTCGTCTGACACTTGTAGGACTTAAAGTATTCGAAATACTGCCAAACTGGTGACGTGACTTTTCCCTCTTTTATCCACAATTTCCTCTCGAGCTACTGCATTCATTTTCTTCTTTCACTCCATTTTTTATTTTATTTTTAAGCAGTTATGAGGTGAAACATGAAACTACTACACGCTACTCAACAGGTTGTTGCTAGCTTAACAAGCTGACGACAGCGTATAGCCAAAACGCATACTATTTTTTCCCTTATTAAGACCTTAAGATATTTTTGGAGTGCTCGTTATTCATATTAATTGTAGTTCTTTCCTCTTTTTTTCCTTTGGAGTTGTGCTCACTACTTTCCTCCTCTTATTGCTAGTTTACCAAAGAGTGAGTGAGTTGATGCCACCAAACCTTGGGTTGTGAGTTCGAGCGTCTAAAGCCTTTCCTCTGCCTACACCCCCCAGAATTCTGTGCCGTTCTGGATTATAGTTCAATGAAATTATCAACGTTCTGTTGATCATGTGCTTATTGTGACATATAGTATTGTTATTGTTTTATCACCCAGTCGTAAGCAGGACACTCTAAGTTTTTGTGCTGCTGCTCCTGTTGGAATCAGCTCTTCTTTCGTTTAGCTTCACAGTGAAGTTCCACTCACATCCTTTCAACACGACCATTTCACCTTCGCACTTAGTGCCATGAACGGTGTGGAAACATGCACGTTGTTTTGTAATCTGATGGAGTTATTTCTTTACTTACTTTTTCACAGGTGAAGCCAGAAGCCCACTGAGGCCTGTAGCTATTTTTGTACATTGTCACATTTTCCCTGAGACTAATCTTCTTAGCATTAAAATGCTAAGACTCTGGTAACACAGCCTGCCAGAGTGGGAACTCTGCTGCGGTTGTTGCTTTTTTTGCCCCCCTCCATCCATTTATTTCTTGTGCTGCATTAACCAGTGAGTGAGAATGAAAAGTACGTCTTAAGCTTCACACCATGCAGGTTGTTTAGGTGCTACAACCTGGTCGTGATAATGAATATTTAATAATTCTGCTATGAATGAATAATGAATAAATAAAAAATGAGCGTGTGGTGTGTTTGCTGTGGCTTATCGTAGTTGATGATGTCATGTGATGGAGTGGGCGGGGCTCGTCCTCGTTTCACGTCACACTCCAGGACTGGAGCGGCGAATCAAGAGGAGGGAGGAGGATGGGAGGTTTCCAGTGTTCCAGTCTCTCTGCATCAGCTTCAGCGTGAGATTGCCATGCTGTGCCTATCTCTGTGAGTGTGTGTGTGGGGGCAAGTCCCCCACCCGCTTACCCCCACCAGCTCAGTGTGCTCAGGAGACAGAGAGATGGGATGTTGTCATAGAAACAGTGTCACAGTTTATTGGTCCTGCAGCGGTGGTGAGTGACCTGGTGGAGCGATGCTGTGGTTTTCCAGAGAGGTGTGTGACAGAGCTATTTCTCTTGTTCTCTGCCTGGATTGGTTCAGTTCCCTGTAATCCTTGTCCAGGAAGCCTTTTGTAAGAAATACGTGTTTAATATCGGCTGTAATCAGATGAAAACACAAGTGTTAAATAAAATGATCTTTGACATGAACTCATGTTTTTAACACTTGTTTCCTCTCCTCGTCATACCGCCGTCAGTAGGTTGGTCACTTTTTTATGTCCAAGTAGGAGAGACCCTCTGACTTCAGGATCTGGTCTGGTCTGAACAGAACCCACTGCCTAAATACTTGGTCTACCTTCATTTTATGCTGTTTTATCAATTTGATTAAGAAAAAGTAGACTTTTGAGCCAAATCCGATGAATGGGAACTGTCAATACACAAATGATTTCTAAATTTATCAAAGACTTTTTTCTGTGATTTTAGGGGTTTTAACTGGAGAGAAAAATAAAATCTGCAATTTCATTGGGATTTGCTTGGAAATTACAGGTTTAATTTGCTACTTTAAACAAAATACTGCAATAAGAACAATACAATTTAATATATTGTGCAGTTTTAGACAAATTAACAGGATTTAATTTTGAATTTGGAGACATTTTCTGGTATTAGTTGAAACTAGACGTTGACTGATCGTTAATGTTGATGCCAATCTTTAGAAACCTGAACGGCTGATTGATATGTTTAAGAAGCGTGTGTGTTTTTGGTTCATAATGATAACATTTTAATATTTATACACATTAATCTGTATTAGATTTAGGGGGAAAAATCATATTTCTGCTGAAGGGACTGAGGAGACTAAAGCAGATCAGTACATATTTTTACCTCTTTACTGTAAGTTTATAATGCAGGCATTCAAACATAAAGTTAACAGTATGTTTTTCTCTAAAATAACCTTTCCTTATACAATTAATTAAAAACTATAAATTAAGTTTAAAATTAGATATTAATGTCTTACAATTTCTGTTTGTAAATACATATCTTTTTTTATAAAATTAACACAATGTTCTGGTCAACTTCCTTCTGGGGTGGCTTTTGTTGTAACAGGCGCTCTTATTGTGAAAAGCACCCTCAGTGCAGAGGATGCATTGACATAAAGCTGTAGTGCCATATGTAACAACATTGTGCTGCCCACAGAAATGCCTGCTTCCTCTTTTTTACTTTGTGTACTCAGTTGTGGTTAAAAAAAGACCTAAATATTTAGTTAACTAATCCATTGTTGTTCTATGTCTAAACCCTCCCATAACCCTGTAAATACTTTATCATTTATGTGTAGTTACATAATGTAAACTGGAAAAATACTTCCGAAAACATATAAATGATCTTGAACAGGTACAAATGCTGAAAATGTAATTCTTTAATTTTTACAAAATTCTAAAACTTCAGTTTCAGTGAATAAATTATAATCAGAAAATAAATATTGAATATAAATATGCTGAGCTTAATTTAATACAAAACTTTATGGTTTTGTATAAAAATGGTTTTTGAAGTACTGATTAATATAATTTAATCAGTTTGTCAAATTAGACTACACATAATATTGCAATCTCTTTGACAAAATACATCAAGTATTAGAAAATAAGAAATTGCAGCTTTAGCTAGCAGTGTGGGGTCAAGATTATTTCTTTATTTTAGTATAAAGTATTTTGTTTTCTGTGTTTCACACGG